CTAGCAGGATATCTCCCAGTGCTGGTGGAGGGCTTGGCGGGGGGAGGTGGGCACTGTCACCATTGACCCCAGCCAGGTTCTTACTGTACCCAGCCCTCTATCCTTTTCAGATCTGCTTAGTCTCAGAACAGTCACATCCGAGAAGAGGCCACTGAGTCCATTTTCTCAGGACAAGTGCCAAAGTCACCTGTAGCCACAGCCAGTCCAGCCTGGGACGGGGGAGTGGCTAGGGAGCTACTGGGGAACAGGGGCTTTCTGACATCCTGGGAGCAGCGTCCCTCTGCTGGGCTGTTTCTTGGTTTTTGCTGTTGCAGTGGTGGTGGCAGTTGGTCTTTTGGAGGTTTTGTTTGTTTGTTTCTAATCTGTTGCTGCTTTGGGAGATGCCATTTCTTGATTTTTACCCCAGAAGCATTCCTAGTGCAAAGTCTCAACGAGGTCAATAAAGTTATTATCGGGCTTCTTCGAAAGAGTAGGTTGGACTGTCAGCTAATAGTTAAGAGATAGCTAGTCGACCTCTCTATCTAACTTGGTTATTCAGTAACCAGTATCCGGTGGGGGGAGGTGGGTTCTGAGAAGTGCCACCTCTTGCTAACAAAGTCTTTGAGGGCCATGAGACAGCCACCCCATCTGGAGCAGCCGGGGATCTTCCCCTCCATCCTTTGGTCATTGGCCTACTTGCCCAGCCTGGCCCAGCCTGGCCCAGCCCCTGGGTGGCATCCTCCCTGTCATAGCCACCCTGGGGCCAGCTAGGCAAGGCCTGACTCTTCATATTCTGTGCCCTGCTTCTTTTCTGGGACCTCTTGACTCATGAGGGAAGGACTGGTGACAGGAGAAGTGAAACCTGCGGGTTCTAAATGCAGGAGCGCATCAGCTGCCTTCCTGAAGCTAGTGTGAGCTTGGCAGTCTTGGCCTCCGTCTAGCCTAGCCCTTAGCCTGACCGAAGTTCCCAGTCTCCTGTGGATCATGGCACCTTGATCTTTCTCTTAGGAAGAGAAAGGGGAATGGATAGAGCACCAGACTCGGAGGAGGCCCTGACAATGGGGAATGGATAGAGCACCAGACCCGGAGGAGGCCCAGCTCCAACTATGCCATGCCCAGCGAGTGGTGTGACTTTGAGCTCGTCCCTCCATCCCTCTGGAGGCCAGGAAGGAAGTCCCAGAAGTGGCCAGTGCCAGGCCTAGTGTCACAAAACACAGCTGAGGACCCCCTGCACCCCCAAGACTCATGACTCTCCTGCTACCTTGGGTGTGTCAGGTTTTCTACCGGCAGATCATGGGGGACTCCAGGTGGTGGATTTCAGGGAGTTGGGGTCAGAGCTGACAGGGATATCAGCCCACCACCTGGAGGAGGGCAGGGCTGGAATCTTGGAACCTACCAGGTCAGGATGCAAGTGGGGACCCCTGCTGACATTCCTGTCTGCCCAGGGGAGCAGGTGGGAGGGCCCCAGGGCTGGAGTCTCCCCTATGTCCCACTGTAGGCTCCCCAAGAAGCCCTAGAGCCCACCACAGGCAAGGCCAGAGCTCTAGGAGCCAGAGAATCCTTATGTTCATCTAGACCCAGCTATGCACAGTGGGAGGTGGGGTGGAGGGTCCCAGGCTGGCAGCCACATCTCTGCCTTCCAGGTAAATCCAGGGCCTAGAACCTCCACTTCGCAGGAGAGTTTGGTTCAGCTCCTGACCCCACTTGGCTCCCCTAACAGAGCAATGTGGGTCGCCTCCACCCCTCCAGCCCTTCTTCCTCGTCTGAAAATTGGAAGCACACTAGCTGTCATCTAAGCGCTTGCTGGGCATCAGGAGCAATTTCAGACTGGTTAGGTGCATCTCACTAACCCATTAGTAGTTCTGAGAAAGGTGACAGACTCTGCTTTTCCGATGAGTAAAAAGATTAAGGAATGAAACCAACTTTTGCCTGATTCCCAAGTCCTTACTCTTTTCTCTTATAGACATCCACCACCTGGGGTCCCCTGTGATGCTGCCATGTGCCTGGGAGTGGCTGGCAGGATGAAAAAGGCCCAGGGAACTGGCCTTGAGCCTTAGTGAGGAAGCCTGTCTGCGCTTCCCACCAAAACCTACAGGGCACAGCCCTGGGTCTTCACCTGGCTTAGGCTGGCTGGGGCTCAGAGCCGCTGACCTGGGAACTCCCGCTCTCTTCAGTGGCTTCCCATCACCTCCACAGATAGCCTAAATGCCACAGCTTGGCATCTGAGGCCCTGTGCCATGCCGCCTGAGGCCCCTGCCCTTCCCAGCCACCTCTGCTCCTCTGCTTGACTTAGTTTCACCCTTCAGATATCCCCACCGAGACAGAGTTCCCCAAACAGGTAGTATCATTTCACACCTCCATGCCTTCGTGCACGCTGCTTCCTCTCCCTGGCAGTCCTCCCTGCCCCAGCTGTGCTTGGCTTGGCCTCGTCCTGCTTGTTTTTGAAGCCTCAGCTCCAGGAATCCTTTCCCGACACTGCTCCCTCCTTCTGGCTCGGAGTCTCTCCTCTGTGTCATCTAGGGCTCTCTCTTATAGTGTCATCACACCAGGTCTAACTGTTTCCCGGCTGACCTGTGCGCCCAGGCAGGTGGAGATCCCGCTCATAGATTCTCTTGCTAGTGCTGGATTGTAGCATGGTGCCTGGTGCAGGATGGGCACAGGGATGCATGGGAGAGCAGCCTCGCTTCGGCCAAAGAGAATCAAGATGTTAGAAATGGGCACAGCTCCTCCTACTGAGGTTGGCAGGGACAGGACTCCAGACAAAAGGGCCATGGGGCAAATAAGGAAGAATACCTGGGGCCACAAGCAGCGGAGTCGGGGAGGGCAGGCTGGAGTTGACACAGTGCAGCGGGGGGAGTGGGGTGGGAGGGGAAGTGGTGCTAGCAGCAGGCTGTGCCTCCAGGCCCCCATTGGCTCTGACCAGCCCTGGGAGGGCTCAGCGTGAGTGTGGAGGTGCAGTCTGGCTTCCTAGTCAACACCAGGCTACGTAGCCAGCAAGGGCTTCACTGCCGAGCCTGTGATGAAAGAACAGTCGTAGCTGGGGCCCCGAGGCCCCCAGGGATCTTTCAGACACTGAGAGGATCTGATTTGTCACCATGATCAGTGGTCAAACATCTTGGCAAAGGCCCTCGCGCGTCCATGTGGTCATGAAGGCTGGTCCCACTGACTGGGGGGCCTCAGCGGCAGTATAACCAGGGACCTGGGGACTGGGGGAGAGTCATGCTGTGTTCTCTTGTGGGACAGACAGGGTTGATGCTAGCAGCCATGTGTAACTGATGAGGAAACCAGAGGCAAAAAAAAAGGCTTAGGGATTCCCGGGAGGCTACACAGGCAATTAGTGAGAGGTGCCACGCAAAGCTTCCCGCCTCCCCCTGAACCAGGTGCATCCCAGGCAGGGCTTGGTGGGTGCTATCTGTAGGGCTGCAGGGTTCTTCCATCCATTGCTCTTTACAGAAGGCCAGCTGGACAACCTCTTCAAAGTCTCTCAGAGGATTGCCCTCAGATTCTAGAAGTCCCTGAACTAAGAGTCATGAGCCGTATGGCAATAGGTGGAACCTGGAAAACATTGTTGCCACAAGCTTGCCCATGTCAGTCACTGTGACAGGCACTTGGAGTAGCCCCAGCTTCCCTAGACAACCTGAGTCCCTAGAGGACCTCTCTGACCCACATGTGCACCTTTGGGAACCGGTGGTCCGAGAGGCTGGGGTGTGGAGCCTCCTGGATTCCAGACTGCACTGTTGCACCTTCATGCTGGATGGGATGGAAAGGCACTGAAAGCATTTTAGCAGAGCCGTGGAGGGGGCAGGAGCAACTTCAGTCTCTCAAGAAGACAGACTGTGGGGACTCAGGTAGGAAGCTCAATCCAGGGGCAAAGTGAGAAGGAGCCTTGTAGCCCAAGCCCATTCAGGCTTCGCGGAAATGCCCCTTTATTTCCCAAGTGGTAGTGGGTGTTGCTTCATGCCACATTTGGGGGAAGTGGGTTTGAAGGAAGATTCTTAGGCAGAGGGAGCATCCAGTGTCCCCCCCTTGGGCTCTCAGAGCCAGGACAGAAAGAGCTTCAGGAGCCCTCCCACCCTTTTTCCTGACCTTTCTCCATGAAGTCTTCAGTGAGCCCTGGGTCTCGCCTAACTCCTGGCCCCTTCTCCTGGACTGGGGCTCTACTCTGAGGCCTATTTTCCATGCATGTCCTGGCTCCTGGCTGCGGCAAGGAAGCAGACAGTGACTCAGCAGGGCTCTGGGGTCCTTCCCCAGGCCTCAGGCTCGGGGAGCAGCCAGGGTGCAGTGGAAATGCTGAGTGCCACCCAACTGGACTGTTCTTTCCATCCTGGGCCAGGGCATGGGATGAGACGTGAGGAGTGGGAGACAGCACATGTGTGTGAGTCACAGATGGAAAGAATGGGCTCTATCCAGTGGGATGGACAGACTGAGACTAAGAAGAAGGCTTGGGTCTGTCACCGGCTGTCCCACTGCCACCTCTTTTCCAACTACCACCTGGCTGAAAGAGGTGCTGTGTCTGCCCTGGTGGAAGCTACAGAGAAGTGTCGACCTCATTTTAAAAGCAGACACTTCTCCTGACTGACTCAGTCTCCTTCCTACCGCCAATCATTTCAGACATGTGAAAACCACTCGAACTCCCTGCCCCCACCTCTGCTGCACACACGCACACACACACGCACACACACACACACGCACACACACAGGCGTCCTGACCTCAGGGAGGCCGACGAAAAGCAGAGGTGCTGCCAGCTGGTCAGAGCAGGCAGAGGTGCTTCCTGTGGGCTGGGGCTGAGCCAGCTCCAACAGAGGCCTCAGGAGTTGGGACCAGGGAGACAGGTCCCCTGAGCACCCTGGCCTCTGGGCATTTTTTCCCAGCCTCCCCTTGGCCTCTGCACCAAGAAGGAAAGAGCTGGTGGTGCCCAGGGCCCTGGGACTGCCAGAGGGGACACGGGTCGGGGATGCTGGCCCAGAACTTCCAGCCGGGGCTGACTTCCCACTAACACAGATGCCGTCCCTTCCTGCAGGTTTCGAGGCTCCATCCTGTTGCTGACCTTCCTCATTTACACCTGCTATCACATGTCCAGGAAGCCCATCAGTGTCGTCAAAGTGAGGCTGGCTGGCAGCAAGGAGGAGTGCAGAAGCATACTGTCATAACCGTCCTTACCCCTTCCCATGGCCACCGAGGCTCCTTTTGAGTTTATTCCCCAAGACAGTTGTGTGGGTGGCTGTAGATGGAATAAGCGTGCAGGGCCCCTGGGCTGTGTGGATGCTGCTCATGGCTCTGATGTGGCCGCTTTCCCCTGCAGCCAGTTCCTGCAGGAGGAGGTGCCAGTAGGGGGACATGGAATCTGGTTAGGAGGCAGTGTCTCTGGTATGGTTGGGGCAGGTGGTTGCTTGCTCCCTTCTGGGTCAACCCCTGACCTGTGTGTCCCATTGCCTCTCCAGAGCCGTCTGCACCAGAACTGCTCGGAGCAGATCAAACCCATCAATGATACTCACAGTCTCAATGACACCATGTGGTGCAGCTGGGCCCCATTTGGTAAGCACAGGGCAAGGTGCTCTTCCCATTTCCCATTCCCTCTTCCTCGAGAAGGGGGTGTCCAGGGAGGGCTTCCTGCAGGGGCATCCATGCGGTCAGCTTTCTGTTCCTCCCATCTGCTTTCAGACAAGGACAACTACAAGGAGTTACTGGCGGGCGTGGACAACGCCTTCCTTGTCGCCTATGCCATTGGCATGTTCATCAGGTAAGGACAGAGGCTAAGCCTGTGACCAAGAGGAGGATTTAGAGCTGCTGCCTCCCCTTAAGGAACCTGGGGGCAGCTGGGTTGAAGCGAACTCCCACCAGGGAGTGATGGCTCCCCAACGTGGGAGTGAGATCAGGGATGCTGCACATACAATCCACCCACAGCCATCCTCCGTGCCTTACCACGGTCGCAGGACTGCTCCTTCGCCTGGTAGACTCCCACTGGTAGCAGCTCTTTTGCCTGGAAAGGTTTTCCTGGATGTTGCCTTTGAGTCTGTTCACTCAGATAGCACAGTTGGTGGGTATGGACTGGGACCCTTTAAGGATGGCCCTGTGTGCATATATAGCTGGGAGAATCCCCGTCCTCTGCTGCATCCAAACCAGCGCGGGAAGCATGCTGTTCCTTGCCAGGAAGCCATGATCAATAAGGCTGCAAACTGCCTCCAAAGAGCTCACAGGCTAGTGGGGGCAATGGATGCATCGGCAGCTGGTGCTAAAACTGTGGCCGGCTCCATGACAGACGTGGCCATCGGGTGTTCTGGGAGCTCTGAGGTCGTTACTCAGTCCAAGCTGAGCTAGAGCAGAGGGGTCAGGGAAGGCTTCTTGGAGGAGATGGTGCCTGACCTGATGCAAGGGACTTGGGCACGGCGGAGCAGATGGAGACCTGGGCAGAAGGAATAGCAGGAGCAAGTAGGGCAAATGTGAAGAAGCAGCATGACCTACGGGAGGAACCGCGGGCAGGTGTATGGAGGGAGTGACAATGTAGGGAAGGTAGCAGCAGGGCTGAGGGCTGAGGGCTGAGGTCGTTTGCACATGAGGTCCACAGGCAGAGATGCATGGAAGGGTTTTCGCCAGGGCGTCCCATCCAGATGGGCATTTCTGAGAGTGATGCTGAGGTGGATGAGACTGGTCACACAGAGGGACCAATTTGACAACAGCCCAAGCTGTTGAGCTTGTGTTACTATAGTGGTGATAGAGGTGGAAAGAGGCGATGTACTGGAGTACTAGCTGAGAGGTAGCCCGGTGAGTCTTGGAGACTGAATGTGAGGGGTGGGGAGGAGGGACGGGAGTCTGAGGGAGCTCTGAGCCTGGCTTGAGTGGCCAAGGGGTGGCATTCACTCAGATAAGGGTAGCAGGATGATGAAGGGGTCAGGGCGGTTGGCAGGAGGAGGAAGAGGAATTCGGCTTAAGAGCACTGGGTTTCAAATGCCCCAGGGGCATCTGAATAAAGGAGGCACCTGGCTGCGACTGACTGTGAAGCTCTGGGAGACAGATCAGGCCTGAAGATATGCATGTGGAGCTATTTAGCCTATGGGTGGTTGTTACAACCATAAAAGTGATACAAAAGGCTGCTCCGAGAGGAAAATCCACGACAGGGAGCGGCTGGCCAAGCGAGGAAGATGGGCAGGCTAAAGTCATGGAGCATGGCCAGGTGTCACAGAAGCAGTGGGGGACAGAGGTTGGCCCCGTCACATGGCCACACAGAGGTCATTGGTGGGACCTTGGCCAGAGCCACTTCCTAGTGTGGTGGGGGCAGAAATGTGGCAGGGAGTTGAGGTGGACTCAGAGGAGCTTAACCGCAGATCCAACTTTCTCTTCCCCAGTGGGGTTTTCGGGGAGCGGCTTCCGCTCCGTTACTACCTCTCAGCTGGAATGCTGCTCAGTGGCCTTTTCACCTCACTCTTTGGCCTGGGATATTTCTGGAACATCCACGAGCTCTGGTACTTTGTGGTCATCCAGGTATGAGTTACCATCTTGCATTTGGGCCTGTGTTCCCGTCTCGGGAAGGACCTGGGAGACTGCCGCTCACAGCGGATGGGAGCCTGTGTTCCTGGCTCCCTGTCTGGTGCTCTCTATTACACTGCACTGGGTTCCACCTCCTGGTCCTACCGCCCCCGCATTTATTCACTCAGAGAGTTGGCCTTGAGCACAATGCCGTGGTCACTTCTAATGCCTGAGAGGCTTGGTCTCTGCTTGAACAATCTTGAGCGAGAGAAGCCAGCTCATGACACTGGGGAGGTGTGGCATGTGTGTAAGGGAAGGGCAAGGTTTGTAGTGTGGGGTATGGAGGGCTCCTTGGCCATAAAATTGAACCTCCTCAGCCCAGAGTGGTCAGAGCAGGGAGCCAGTTGCTCAGCCCAGGTCTGCTCCCACCCTCCCTCCCCTCTCCCTGCAGGTCTGTAATGGACTCGTCCAGACCACAGGCTGGCCTTCTGTGGTGACCTGCGTTGGCAACTGGTTCGGGAAGGGGAAGTGAGTGTGACAAGGGAGGAGGAGTGGGAAGGATTGGGAGGGCTGGGGGTCCCGAGCTGGTCACTGTGTCCTCTGATGTGATTTCAGAGGGAAGGGTCAGAAAGCGGCCTCTGAGTTGCTGTTCACAAGCTTAGCAGTGGCTAAAAGCAGGACTGATTTTCTCAGTGATGAGGCTTTAACCCATAGAGCAGGCAACCTTAGTTATGCTTTTTTCTAATAATAGATGAATTTCTATTTTCAACAAAGACAAAAAGCCTATAAAACGTTTTCCCCCCTTAATTGGCTTGTGTGCAAAACAAAGTTGCTTCGGAGAAGGGATTTTCGACGTTGGCACTACTGACTTTCTGGGCTATTGGACCCTTGTTTGGGGACTGTCCTACCACTGCAGGCTGTTTAGTAGTAGCCTTCCTGGCATCTGCTCACTGGATGCCGTAGCACACCCCGAGTTGTGACCATCAAAAATCTCTAGCTGTTACCAGATGTCCCTGGTTGAGCACAGTGCTTTAGAGTGAGATGGTGGGACAGAAAAGAACGAGGGCCGGGCCCCCATGCCCTCGGTGTGGCTCGAGCTCCCATTGGCACTCACTCAGGGAGCTGGGCAGGGGGAGCGAGACCGCAGGCCCTGCAGCCACCTGCTTGACACCACCCAAGGTCTCCCACTCCTTGCTGACTTGCGGCTTTGGGGCTCAGTCTTTGGTGCCTTGGGGAAGCTGCAGTTGGCCCAGCTTTAGAGCTTGGTTGGGGCCGTTGCTATGAACAATGTGCTTTGCTTTTTACTTTTTCTCCCTCTTCCTTTCTCTCCCTCCCTTCCAGGCGGGGGTTCATCATGGGCATCTGGAATTCCCACACATCTGTGGGCAACATCCTGGGCTCCCTGATCGCCGGCATCTGGGTGAATGGGCAGTGGGGCCTGTCGTTCGTCGTGCCTGGCATCATTACCGCCATCATGGGCGTCATCACCTTCCTCTTCCTTATCGAACGTGAGTGGGCCCCTCACTCCCCACAGAGCCCACAAGTGAGCCTAGAATGTCTCGATTTCTGGGAGAAGGCAGCTAGATCTACTGGAAAGATTGCTGGTCACAGAGTGGGAGGACCAGCCTTGAGACTTTGGACAATCTCTCAGAGCCTTTATTTTCTCATTTGTAAAATAATAATAGTAATAATAATGTCTATTTTGTAGGATTTTTGCAGGCTTAACTGAGACACCATAGTTAAAATGCCTGGCCCATAGTAGGTGCTTGGCAAGCACTGGTTGAATCTGAGAGGTGTGAGCAAGGAAGGTGGAGTTGAAGGGACATTTTTACAGTGACCAGGCTCTCCACTTGCCGCAGGTGGCTTTGTGCACTAGCCAGGCCAGGTATGAGAGCCACTCTGTAGCTAAGAGTACTAAAGTCCAAGAGGCAGTAGTGACACAGCTGGTTGTTAGGAAAGCCAGGCCTAGAAAGCTGTCTCCTGAGCCCCAGGCCCTGCTCCCTTCTGCTGGGACACACACTGGCCACCTTAGGAGTTGGAGGTGGGGCCGGTTCCTGGGATGTCTTAGACCCAGTGCGAGGTGAGGGCCTGGCAATCACCTTGGGATTGGGGGGGGTTGGGAAGCTTCTTAGAAGGCAATTTTTTTTTTCCAGACCCAGAAGATGTGGACTGCTCCCCTCCTCAGCACCATGTAAGTGTGAGCCCTCCCAGCCCCATCCCTGCCCTCCAACTCCATCCAGAGCGCTGGACGCAGAGAGGCCTGGGGAGCTAGAGCAGAGAGTTCTGGCCCTCACTGACCTCACAGACCCAGTGCTAGGCACATGGGTTGGCCCTACAGCCTGATGGGTCTGGCAGGTCAGTCCAGCCCGAGATGAACATGTGCCTCCCCATCCTGGGGGCCAGTGTCTCTTGCCTGGGCTGCACCTTCAGCTGGTGGGAGGCAGCACACAGACGCACCCACATCAGGGCTCGTCTCCTCTGCTCAGGGTGAGCCAGCTGAGAACCAGGACAACCCTGAGGACCCTGGGAACAGTCCCTGCTCTATCAGAGACAGCGGCCTTGAGACTGTGGCCAAAACCTCCAAGGGGCCATGCGAAGAGCCTGCTGCCATCGACTTCTTTGGGGCGCTCCGGATCCCAGTAAGAAGTTTGTGGAATGGAGGAAAGAGAGGGGCTCTCCATATTTTTCTGTTGGCGATGAGGAGATGGGGTGCTTGGGTGATCTCTTTTTCTAGAACTTCTTTATAGGGGAGATGTAAGCTGGGCAGCCTGCCTGGGGAGGGCAGTGTGGGAGACTTGTCTCGAAACGACCTTGCACAGTGGTCATGTTGCTTTTATTGGGACTGGATGTGTTGGAGGCTGCCTTGTGTGGCAGGTGATGGAAAGTACTGGGGTGGTGCTGAGCACCCCTCGGGGCCACCACTGAACCCAGGACCTCTGGACCCCTTCCTATGTGCCCCCTGTTGCACTCCCCAGGGCGTGGTCGAGTTCTCTCTGTGTCTGCTGTTTGCCAAGCTGGTCAGTTACACCTTCCTCTACTGGCTGCCCCTCTACATCTTCAATGTGGGTAAGTCCAAGAGAAGGGGAATGAAGGGGTCTCTGAGGAGGCAAGGCCACCTCTGGTGGGAGAGGAAGCCCGTCGTGGTGATGCCTGTGATTCCAGTATATAGACAGAATTCCTGCTGAACCTCTCCTAGAGTGAAAGGAGCTTGATTTAGTTCTTTATTTAAATGAAAGCTAAACCCAGCGCACTACCCCCTAGACCCTGACCCCAGCCACCTTCCCTCCGTTGGAACTGAGCTGGGGATTAGGAACTCAGAGCTCTGTTCTGCAATTCTTGCTGTCTTCTTCTCTAGCCCTTAGTGTAGGAGAAGCCCCCTCCAGGCTGCTTGGCTCATAGGTGGTAGGGTTGGGAGGTGCTAGGAAAGGCCTGCCTGCCGGATCCGTCCCCAGTCCAAGGAAGAGGGCCTGATGAGCGACCCCACTCCTTGTAGCCTGGTGGTGACCATGGTGGTCTCCCAGTGGGACCTCATGGGATTGATGCCCCTATGCCTGGGTCTGCTGGGCTGCACTGGTGTTCTGCCCTGTCTCACAGACCTACTCCCTGCTGCCCCTGCGCAGGGATGTACAGATGAGAAGAGATCACTTGAAAAAGGATGTTTCATGTCCACCTGGCCTGGGTCTCGGCTTTTCCATAGGTCGGGCTACCAAAGAGCAGCCCACCCCGCCCTGCCCAGCCCCCAGGAGCCTCCAAGCTCCACCAGGGCTGAGGACCTCTCACCCAGTACTGCTCCCCTCCCTCCCAGCCCTGGGGAGGAACAACAGCGCCTTGCCACACGTTGTGCTTGCTCTGAACAGGATACTGTAGGAATTACTCATGGCCAAGTCTCAAGCCGTAGCTTGCCCTGCAGCTCTGTCGGGGCCTCTCTCTGTGACAGTGTGGAGTGCTAGGGCAGCTTCTTGGACACCGTGACTCTTTGTTTTGTGGCCTTGGTGCTGACTTCAGAGTATGAGGCAATCTCGAGGGTGGGGCTACAATCTCGGCTTCTGGACATTCCTTTTTTAAAACATGGAGCCAAGGCCTGTTACCTGAGGCCCCTGTGTCCCTGCAAGTCTCCTTCCTGGTTCTGTGTATGAGCACAGCCTCAGGTAAACGGGGGGAGCGCCTAGTGCTGCTAGGGCCCCAGTGAAGCAGAGAAAGGGCTGGGCTGAGTCTCAGGTTGCGTTCCAGGGGAAAGGTGGCCACGGGACAGCAGGCTTGGGGGCCAGATCCCAGGGCTTGCCAGGGGGGGCTTGTTCTGGGAGGTGAAGGTCATCCTGCAGGGGAAGAGGGCACTACAGGACGGGACCAGGAGGGCATCTGTCCAAACTGCTGCACTCTCACCCTGTGGCCCTGGCCAGCCTGCTCCACACGTCCCTAGCTCTTCCTCGGAAAAGGGGGCAGTGGCCTGGATCATGCTCTGCGGGGCTTCTAGCTGTGACGCTCAAGGACGTTTGTCCTGAATCCCAGGTCTGACCACATACCTGTGTTTTCCACAGCTCACTTTAGTGCCAAGGAGGCTGGGGACCTGTCTACACTCTTTGATGTTGGTGGCATCATAGGTGAGGCCCTGCCCTGCTCTGCCAGCAGTCTCCCTTCCCCTCTTTTCTTGTGGGGTGCAGGAAGAAGTGACAGGTCCAATGGGCTATGACCTGGGTAGGTGGCACCAGAGGAAAAATGGCTCCTGGGTTTATTCTCAGTTCTGCTCCTGCCTGGCTGGGTGGGCCTAAGAAAGATGCCCTTTTGTTTGGTCTCCAGTAGTGATGGGCACTAGAGGAAGGGGAGGGCTGCAGACAAAGCAGCTCTGCTGGTTCTTGCTGGCAGGCCCAGGCCAGCACTGGGCACAGCTGGGGTGCCAGGTGAGGGGATGGGTGGTCCTGTCTGGGAGGCAGTGTGTGAGTGGGTGTGTGTTCCAGGCGGCATCATGGCAGGGCTCATCTCTGACTACACCAATGGCAGGGCCACCACTTGCTGTGTCATGCTCATCTTGGCTGCCCCCATGGTGCGTATAACCTCGAGGGTAAAGTGCAAATGCATGTGAGCAGGAGCCTGTGTGGGCCTCTGGCCCGTGTGCACGTGCACGTGTTACACACATGGTTGTCTCTGTGTGCACGTGCACGTGCATCCCTGTGCGCACACGGGGGAGGAGAGGCGAGGGTCAGCAGAGGCACCTTGGAAAAAGAGCCAGACTGCAGACTTTAGAGGGAGATTCATGACTGTTTGGCCTTGGTAGAGAAGGAGACCACCTCCTAAACGTCTTGATCAAGGAAAGAAGAGATTGAGGTTGAATCTGAGAGAAGACTGTTGGGAGAAAGGGAGATGATAGAGTACCACGTTTTAGGCCGTCCATCCTGGGACATTTAAAGACCAGAGAAATCTGGGTATGCGAGGGAAAAGGAATAGGATGCCTTCAGGGCAGGAGACGGTTGTTCCAGACCTCAGGGCTCCAGGCCGGCAAAGGGATTCTGGGTGACTCTGCCTCTCCCCTCTCCTCTCTCAGATGTTCCTGTACAACTACATTGGTCAGGACGGGATTACCAGCTCCATAGGTGAGGAGGAGGTTGCAAGTCCTGCCAGGCCATGGGAAAGGCACTGCCTTGGGGGCCCCATGAGGCCAGCCCACGTGGGGGCACTGGCAGGTGGAGGGGCTGGGAGGGCTGAAGGCCAGAGGGTGCTCCTGCCCTGGGGCTGGGGCTGTGGGTGGTGCCTCCTCTCTGACTGGGCTGTCTCTGTGCCGTCCCAGTGATGCTGATCATCTGCGGGGGCCTGGTCAACGGCCCATACGCGCTCATCACCACTGCTGTCTCTGCTGACCTGGTAAGTGGGGCCACCTCCCGAGGGCCAGGAACCACTCTGGGGGCTTGGTCATGGCCACCATCTCCAGGTCCATTTCCCACTGTCTCCCATCCCGCAGAGGAGAAACCATCAAAGTCCTTCAGAATGTACCATGGGCCCCTCTCCTCTCAAGCCCAGACCCCAGTCACCACCTTCCCTGAGTCAGCCCCTCTCCTGTCCTGGTTCCGCTCCTGCAGCCGCTTGGCTGGGCTTTCCCACTCCACTGTCTCTCTCCAGGGCACTCACAAGAGCCTGAAGGGCAACGCCAAAGCCCTGTCCACAGTCACGGCCATCATCGACGGCACCGGCTCCATAGGTCTGTGACTCTAGCTCTGTTGTGGGCCGGCCCCTGGGCATAGTGCCCTCCGGTGGGCAGGGGAGGTGCAGGTCCCCCTGCTCACGAGGCTGTGCTCTATTCAGGCGCAGCTCTGGGGCCTCTGCTGGCTGGTCTCATCTCCCCCACGGGCTGGAACAACGTCTTCTACATGCTTATCTCTGCCGACGTCCTAGCCTGCTTGGTAAGAGTCTTGGGGTACACAGATAGGTATTGAGGGATGCTCCGTCCTGCGAGGCTGCAACCCTGGAGGTCCAAAGCATTGGCCATTGGGGGTTCTGGGGTAATGAGAGCAGCTGCCCTTTGCTCGGAAGCACTCTCCCTTCCCCCGAGTGACCCCTTGCCAAATGGGAGTGTGTCTCTCCCCCTTCTCCACTGCCAGTCCACGGGTCACCTGGCGCTGGGCACTCAGTGCTCAATGCTAACGGTGCCCTCCCTTCCCTCTGCGCCTTGTGCTCCACAGCTCCTCTGTCGGTTAGTGTACAAAGAGATCTTGGCCTGGAAGGTGTCCCTGAGCAGAGGCAGCGGGTGAGTCCTCCGGGGAGCTGAAGTTGCCCCCCTCTGCCAAAGCCACTTCTCATGGGAATCAGCCCAGGGCTCAGTTTCTCCAAACGCAGGCTGAGGCTCCTCCAGCCCAGACCTGAGGAGCACTGAGCCAGTCCCTGGGTGGCCCCGCCCTGCTAACCTGTCCCCTGTTGTCCCCGTGTGTCTCCATAGCTCTAGTGTGGTCCTAACCCACCAGCGATAGTATTTCCCTCAAGTCCCATGACTTTTGTGAGTATTTACTTCGAGTCTGTGACTCAAGCGCCATTTGAATGGGGGCTGCATGCAAATCCTCTGTCCTGCAGTATGACTTTTTCCAACTTTCTCGTTTTTCTCGGGGGCCACTTGTAAAGACTTTCAGCCTCAGCAGAGCATAGTGCGTGGGAAGCGTTTGCCAAGGGGTCTGAGATGCCACAGAGGTTGGCGGCCTCTTCCCTGAGGGACAGTGTCAGAACTTTGGACGTGCCCTCCGGGGACAGAGGAGGCAGAAATAGGGAAACCAGTTTCCCTCTGAGCTGAGACTGAGTTGCAAGTGCCTCCTGAAGTTCAGAAACCAAGGTCATCTGGCCCCTCTGCCTGGGGTATGCAGAAAAACAGCAACTACCAATCAAAGTCTCTGAAACAAACGTGAATCAAACATGGGTGCTGGCCTGGTGTGCTCTCTGCCTCCTGTCTGGTGGTGGTGGATGTGGTGGTGGCACCAGTAGGTTAGTGGCTGAGGCTGCACAGTGCTGGTGGTCGGATGGTGGGCGGCCCTCTCCCGCTGGGCGTCCTGAGCAGGAGCCTCGTGCTAACAAGTAGGCCGCTAACGAGCTGGCCGGAGCCGTGGACCTGGGCTGGATGGCAAACGTGAGGAGGAACCCCCTGGGTCATGGTAACCAGCACGCATCCGGGGACGCACTTCCACTTAAGGAAGACACCACGCAGGGGAGAGAAAGTGAGAGCAGGAAGACACACGACACAGGAAGCACACAGAGCACCTGTCCTGCCCTGCCTGTCCTGGAAGGGCAAAGTTCCTGTGCCTGTGCTCCTTGGAGCCAGGCCTGAGGGTGGGAGGGGAAGAAGAGCAGCGGAAAGCGAGAAGGAGTATTTAGTGAGCAACTGCTCGGTGCCTGGAGTTGTGTCTGGCTTTCGATGTGTGAGCTTGCCTCGCAGCAGCCTCTCATTGGAGGTGAGAGGCAGAGACTCAGAGCTCGGGCACAGCCTAACACTGAACCTGGGCCTGGGGGTTGTTTGCTTTTCTCTGGACTGCCACCGCTGTCCCAGGCTGGTCCTTCTCCACAGGGAGCCTGTGTGTGAGGTGTGCAGTGATTTGTCAGAGCAGACAGAGCACTGGACTTGGAATCCAAAAACCCCTGGACAGTCCCGCTTTCTCCACTCACTCCATGAGACCTTGGGCATAGCATCCAGATTCTCTGAACTACCACATCTTTATGTATGAATGGGGATGCTTATCCCTGAATACCCGGCAGAACTGACCTGAGGCTGAGATAAGATGGGATATGTGATGTTGCTTTGTAAAGCTGTCAAATGTGGCATGAACATTGTAAGGTTTTAATTTCTTTTTTTTTTTTTTTTTTTTTTTTTTGAGGCAGAGTTTCACTCTTGTTGCCCAGGCTGGAGTGCAGTGGTACAATCTCAGTTCACTGCAACTTCCGCCTCCCAGGTTCAAGTCATTCTCCTTCCTCAGTCTCCCGAGTAGCTGGGACCACAAGGCAAGCGCCACCACGCCCGGCTAATTTTGTATTTTTAGTAGACAGGGTTTCTCCATGTTGGTCAGGCTGGTCTTGAACTCCCGACCTCAGGTGATCTGCCCGCCTCAGCCTCCCAAAGTGCTGAGATTACAGGCGTGAGCCACCGCGCCCGGCCAGGTTTTAAGTATTAATGTGGCTTAATATTTCCTGCCTGAGAGGTCTAATTACAGAGAACTGAGATGAAAGCAATGACGACGGGACCCTGGGACCCTGTCTTTCCTCTCCCCAGTCAGCAGGAGCTTATGAAGTCGTCTCACTTTCTCTTCCGCCCCTCTTTCCTCTTCATGCAGGTATAAAGAAATATGAGGCCCCAGTTGGAAGAGCAGCATGGAAGGCCCCAGTTGGGTCCCCAGTGTGCTCCCCATGGGCAAGACAATGAAAACTTCCACAAGTAAGGGAGGCAACCCCTTTTAACTGAACATCAGCCAGCCCAGTCCAGACCCAGGGCTGCCTAAGGACACAGAGATTCTCCATGGGAAGGGGACTGCCAAGCATGAGGAAGTAGAAGATTCAGGGGCCTGAGCTCTGGAAGCTACAAGCAAAGGGCATGGGACTGGGGCTGAGTTGTGTCTCCATTTTGATAAGGGAAGGATATGCTCAGACTCTTGCTTGTTCAGATTCCAAGACAGAAGGCTTCACAAGGCCAAGGCCTGGAAAATGTGCATCTCTCCTTCCCATGTTAAATTTTAATCTCTGTAATCTGCCTGTATCTGTAGGTGGGCATCTCACTCCGTCAAAGGAGCCCAGCCTCTCTTTGTCCCTCTATCCATGAAACAGTCTTCTCTGTGCATTTCCCCAAGCTGGGCCCTCTTCTACCCTCCATTTAGGCCTGTTGATAGCTCCCTTACCTGCCCATCACTGCTTTCTCCAGGGCCAACACTCGGGCGAGGCAGGGGAGCTGCCTTCAGTACATAATTTGAGGGGGCACTCTCTCTTGGGCACAGGCCGGCCCTGAGTGCCTCCCTTGCCTCACTCTGATCCTGGCCCCGTAATGTCCTCAGTGGAAGGTGACTGGGGGCCAGTGCTGTGGGGAGAGTAGAAAGAGGAGTTGGCATGACTAAAAATACCAGTATGTGTATTAAGTATTTTGAGAATGAAATGCCAAGGAGTGCCTACTGTATGCCAGCTCTGCTCTAGGAATGGAGTAGACAATGGACACAAGAAGGACTTATGCCCTGAGCACAAGTGCCAGCAGTGACAAGACTGGCAAGATGTGAGGGCATGCATGGTTCATTCAGGCAGTTGCTGCAGGTGTGGTCGCCTGGCGCCATCTGCCGCTCCCTTTTCCACTTTTCTGTATCCTCCTTCCACCCCAAGTCCTGGATCACTCAGTCTTCTGGCTAGCTCTTGGCACCTCCATCTGACCCTAAAGTTGCCCATTGGCACCAATAGATTCCCTTTGACCTGCTGCACCCATGCTCATCCTTGTTGGGGCTTAGCTCAGTAGTGAGCGGGGCTCGCATGGGCTGCTGAAGTGGGGTCCCAGGACCACCAGGGGGGTAGGTTAAAGCTGCTGACAGTGGGCATTCCTGAGGGGGATGCTCAGGACACTGATGATGTATGGGCAAACTGAGAGCTTAGAGCGCCATACAAGATACAAGCCTTGCATTTCCTGGGATGTGGTGGCTGGTGCATTAGCCAGATACACACCCTTCCACGCTGAAGCAGGCTGCAGAGGCGCCAGTGGCAACCAACAGGGAAGGCTCCTCCTGCCTGCAGTCACTTCAGCTCTGAGCGTAGGAGTCAGCCAGGGACTTCCAAGTCCTCAGAGCCCACAGGGGCAAGAGCTATACTCTGGCCTTATGTTCAGCATTCACGAAAGCTGCTCTCCGCTGCTCTTTGACATTGAGAATGAAATGAAATTAGTTATTCATTTAATTTAACTTCACATTTGGTCTCAATTAAGCTTAAAATGTTCTTCCTTATAGATGCTCCAATAGCACTTGTAATTAAGGAGCTTAAGGAGAAGCTGTGTTGCTTACATGAGCCACTAGATGGTGACCCAATCCCATCATACAGCCCAGGGTGGGCTGTGGTTCCATCCTGCTTCCCAGAAGAGAGACAGGAGCAGGCGCCTTTTGACTTTTCAGACTTTCAACTTGCTTTCTTCTTCAGAGGGCAGGGGAAGAGGAATGGGTCTCTCGAGGTCTTCTCTTCGCCGCCTGCACTGCTTACTAACTTTAAGCCTGTTTCGTCATCAGGAAAATGATGACATTACCTACCTCATAGGATTGGTATGAAGGGAGACAAACATCGTCATCACACTCCTGCCCTTGGAGAACTTGTCTAGTTAGGGGATAAGTAGGAAAATACACGGCGACAGTGGCTCCAGGTGAGAGCTACGCTGTTCATTAGTCCAGCCATGCAGCAGGAACAGGGCTGGCGGGAGGGCGATTCCGGGGGCAACGGCAAGAGTCCTTCTTCCTTATGAAGGCAGAATTCTCAGGACTTGGATGATTCATTTGATAAGGTAGTGAGGGGTAGTGGAAGAGGGAGGAAGTTAACATGAATACTTATCCAACTCCTACGATGTTAGGCCTTAGAGACTGAAAACCAAACAAATGGCATTGGCTCCTACCGGCAGGTAAGTGTAGCACTAGATACATGCAAAAGGCATTGTGGGAGCTCAGGGTCTGGCCTCAGAAATGAGGACTTAGGCTGTGGGTAGGGAGTTGGGAAAAATACCGAAGGTTGGCGGAACCCCAGCCCTGAGATCTGCCTGTCTGCACCCATCTCCCAGGTCCCAGGTTGCTGGCCCTGTTTGGGCAGCTCTGGGCACAGCCTGTTCACCAGAGGCCTGGTACCTGCCTTCTCCCTGGGTCTCAGCACTCACACGGGGCCAATGCAGGAGCATTACGTTAATTAGTTATTCATTTAATTTAACTTCACATTTGGTCTCAATTAAGCTTAAAATGTACTTCCTTATAGATGTTACAATAGCACTTGTAATTAAAAAGCAATAACTCTCTGCGTTTCTCCCTTAGAGATCCACTGGGAAGCTGGGCGAGTGTGTGTGGGGTGGCTTGGGGAGGAGGAGGAGGCAAGAGGCAAAGAAAAGAAAGGGAAAGAAGCTCTTGGTCGGTCCTAACACCATGAGGCCACAACTAAGACTGAGGCTGGCAGGAGGAACTCAACACGTCCTGGGTGTCTGAGTGGGGGTGGGAGAGTTGCTGTTGGGAATCCTGAGACGTAACAAAGGAGCAGACCTCCTACTGAAAGGTGTGGAGGTAGGGAGGGTGGCCGATGGGGGTGGAAGGAGGCCATGCTTAGAGTTACAGAAGGGGCCCTATATTCTGTGGTAGGTACAATGTGCCCCCACAAGATGTCCACATCCTAATTTCCAGAACCAGTGAATGTTACCTCACATGACAAATGAGATTTTTGCATATGTGATGAAGGCTCTTGAGATGGAAAGACTGATGGGGTGGACCCAGCGGAATCAGGGCTCCGTGTGAATCAGAGGGAGGCAGGAGTGATGGGGATAGGCAGATGCTGCTCTGCTTATCTTGAAGACTGAGGAAGGGTCCACCAGCCAGGGGGACGGGGGTGGCCTCTAGAAGGTGGCAAAGGCAAGGAAAAGGGTTCTCCCGAGTCTCCAAAGCCTTTCCTTTACCCCCTGAAACCCATTTCTGGTTTCTGACCTCTGGAGCGATAAATGTGAATTGTTCGAAACCAGTAAGTCTATGGCAATGTTACAACAGTAATAGGAAATTGATAATATTCCCAGTGTAAAACTGGGGTATGACCAGTTTAAAGGCAGGAAAATAACCACAAGCAAACAAAAGAAATCCCCAAAGCTTAAAACAAGTGAAGGGGCTGGCCTCGTAACAGTTAGGCACAGCGTAAGGGCTACTGTGTGACGACCTCACCCAAGCGTTTTCCGAGGGCAGGACTTGGACTAAATGCACAGACTGTATCATCCCCAGCATGATGTGATGAAAATGATTAAAAACACACTTTCTCATTCTGTCTGTGGCACTGAGCCTGATTTCGATCCCAGCTCTCATTTCTTTGGTGGCAGGAAACTGAGAAAAGGTCGGGGAAGCGGGGGTTGCGGGGGGGATAGGGACTCAGAATTTTTTTTTTTTTTTTTTTGCATAAACGGTCACCACCAATAATCTGCTAGAGACAGAGGTCAAGTAGAAAACAAAACAAAAATTCCTAGTGTGTGGCTTTGATTCTGCCACTGGCACCTCTGAAAACCAACCCAGTCTCAACCTTCCAGCTGAATGGTGCTTACAAGAGAGGTGGCCGTGTTCTTGAAACTTGAAAACCTAGTCTACTGTTTAGTAGCTCTGAGCTCAGCTGTTTAGTAGCTCTGAGCAAGGGGAAAACCAAAGTCTAACAGCAGAGACCTGCCAGAAACACGGGGCTAACGCGTGAAGCTCTCTCTGACGCCTGCGTGCCTGTTCACGCTTTCCCCCAGACTCCTGCACAATTCCTAAGGTTCTGGTTTTTCCACCAGGCTCAGCCGCTTTTCCTTGGTATTTCTATCAAGTGGATTTTCACTGCCTGCCCTTGCCCCTCCTTTTCCTTCGAGTTTATCGTATGGAGCGACACCCTGTGACAGAAAGTAGTCAGGCTCGTAGACTCTAGAGCCAAACTGCCCGACTTCGGATCCTGACTCCTGTTTACCACCCTGTGCCTGTTCCCCATCTGTGAAGTGGGGATATGAAGAGTACCTACTTCATAGGGCCAATATGAGGAAGACATAGTACTGACAACACACTTAGAAAAATGCCTAGCATATGTTTGCTAAATGTAACAAAAATTGTTATTTTGACATGTGGAACCCTAGACTTATTTCCAAGTATTGGGATGGAAATAGAGATTAAAGGTTGAACTTTATGAACTATAAAATCTCTTCCAATCCTGAGTTCTTATGCTCCTATGAGGATAATCAACACTTTTCCAGATTCGTTTCCATACGGTTCTGATTCTCACATCTGGAAATTCATTTCTATGTAACAGCCAGATATTAAAGGTTTAAGCAAAGGAATGATGATTGAATGTTTGTTATTTCTACTAAAAATGATCATTAGAATCCTTTAATGAAACTTCTACCTTTTTGGGTATGTGTTAGGAAAATGTCAGGTAAAAATAACTAAGAAACACTATTAACCAATGTAAAAATAAGGAGTTACTTGAAAGCCAAAAGTGATCTTTAAACTATTTGAGAAATGAGATGTCAGGAATCCTGATGTCAAGTTGGAGCCCCACTTCTAATTAACTGTGAAACTTTTTAAATCCCTTGTCCTCTCTGCCTGTTTCTCATCTGTAAAATAATCACAGCAGGTTTCTTTACACATTGAGCAAAAAATAAACCAGAAACACTTCAACTGCAACAACCATGAAATAGAGTTGATACCAAAGTTTCTGTTAAATAACAGAATAAAAAATGGATTGCTTTATGTTAGAATAAAAACATTTAAAAATAAATTGGATGCCCTCCTTCCAGGATGGAGAGAGGAAGACAGTCTAGACACCTCACAGCCTAGTTCTCTGATGGGCTTACTCCACCAGGACTAGTGCTTTACACCCTACAGGCTACATGCTGAATGAACAGCAGGATGCGAGAATGAATGGCTGTGTACTCCCTAGTACCTGGACATTGCTATGGTAATTCTGATGCAGTTTTACATTAAATTTACATTGTACACAAAGAATGGTAGCTTTACTTCCATTTTTATAAGTGAAAAATTTAAGGAACTTATCAACAAATTACCCATTGTGATTTCCATTGTGGGGATAGGGTGGTGTCCTGCTAACTCAGCTTTTGTCAGGATACAATTTTAAGAAGCTAAGAAATCACCTATTTTCTTATATAGAAACCGAGATTTACTCTCCCTCTCCACCTTCTAAACAGTGGGGATCACCAGTCTACCACAGGATCCCCTCTGGGTAGGGAAGAGTGGAGGAGGGAACATGCTCTAAGGCCACTGATCGCAGAATGGTTCTGAACACTAAGATGACTTCTGTCTGTATTTAAGGAATGACCTCTGAGCCCTGTCTCCAAGAAGGCCACGAGCATACAGGATACCATAACAGACATTGACTATAGGGTTATCCCATGCCAAACTCTCAGTGAAATTCATTTTGAGCCCTCTCAGCCTTCTACGTCTTATCCCAACCCCGTGGGGATTTTTTGCATAACTGCACTGAGTATGCAGGTAGAAAGAAATCTATCATTCATTTCACCACAGCTGGTAATTACAGACTCCAGGTCTGTAGACGGTAGGTCAAGTCAAGCTGAAATAAACTTTGCACAGAGTATTTCTTTTTTGCCTAAAGCCAATCTTTAACATATAAGCCTGTCACTTACATCAGGCCAAAAAAAAAAAAAAAAAAAAAGAAAACAGTAGTATTAAGGATAGAATTTAGTTTCCAACCTTAATATACTTTCCTCCATCTAGATAGTCACCCAAAACCTCACAGTTATTATCCATTGATCTAATAGTTGAGTAACTTTTGGGGGGAATAAAAAAGGTGGATTCATGGTCAGGAACCTATAAGAGTTTTCCCAGAGTTACTTTTTTAGCAAGGCTCTCAGAAGAAGGCAACAATTGGCAGCTTGTGTTTGTTAGGAGCCAAGCTTCCACTTGGGCTACAGGGAGACTCACAGAGTAACACAATAGCATGAGGATCCCAGCTTGTCTCACTTCCCTCAAGACTTACGCATTCTTTTTTCTCTCCCTCAACCTGCTTAGAGGATGTTTCTTCTTTTCTTACCTGTGTGCCCTAGGCCAGATTAGGAAACTATTCCCTTTGAAGTTTTCTGTACAAAGCCTTATCTGCAAAGTTTTTACAAACTAAGTAGGATAAAGGAAATGGTTCGATGTAGGGATAACTATACCTGCCCCTCACCAGCCCATGACTCTCAATGGTTACCTGTTCTTTCTTCTTGGAATTTAGAGCTTAGTTGCCTCTGGGGTGGCAGGACTGGGTACCTTCTCTACCCTGAAAACAGGACTGAGGAAAGAAAGTGAAGGAACAGTGGCCTTAACCTACCTCAAGCTCTCAGAGTTCCACAAAGCCTCGTGTGTTTTCTTTCCGAGACAAGCCCTGGGGCCTGCCACACCTGGGTTTGCACACTGGCTGTCAGGTGAAGCTTGGGCAAGTCAGTTGATCTCTTTAAGCTTCCGGTTTTTCTACTTTAAAGTGGGGATGATAAAAATGAGACTGTTGTAAAAATTAAATAAATTAAACCTCAAAGGAATTAGTGTGCCACTGGCATAGAGCACGTACTCCATCAGTGATCTCTTTCCAACTTGTTTTCTTGGTTCTTAATTTTAAGCCAGAAGACTCTTTTTCAAATGGCTCTGGGAAGTCAGGATCAGACTTCCAAAGTGGAACCTGACCAGAGCCCCTCCATTTAATGCAAATTTCATTTGGTCTCGGAGATGAGATAAGTATAAAGTTATATCTAATGTTGAGAATATACCTTCCTCACTAGCTTTGGAGAAAGGGCTACAAAGATGAAAACAGAAGACACCCCAAAATGGACTCATGGTAATTAAATAAGGCACACAGAGCCCACTACATCATAGAAGAAAAAAACCTACAGATACATGGCAAGACCAAACAACAACAACAACAACAACAAAAGACAATATTTCCATACCTTTTCTCTAATCCCAAGGAAACCTAAAGATACTTGATTCAAAAAGCCATGGTCAAGAGTTCAAAGTGAAAGTCAGCCCTTTAGCTATTATTTATTGCTTTATTAGAGCAGAGGGAAGTGACACTCATTGCCTTTATAGAGCTCTGCAGAAATACATGCACAGAGTGGTCAATGACCAACATTTGAGTAAGTCTTCCAAATTATCACATTAAAATAACCTTTCGAATTTGAATGCCTCTCCTTTGCAAACGACCGCAACTTCATAATGAAGAATTTTATATATTATCAAAAAGAACCAGAAGCCCATGTGCTCCTTTCCCCAAAATCCACTCACTAAGGACTTGAGTGAAAATCCACTCTAAGCAGATCACTGTTACTATTTCCCTTTCAAAACAGTTGGAAATCCTAAGGTCCGGGTACTAAGAAGATAGCAATATCCTTCTTAAGCTGGTAAGAATCTAGCCCCACAGGGACAATTTGGCAATCCTGTTTCTGGAAGCCAGGACTCAGGAGATTTGTCTTCGTGATGGACGGACACTCCTCCCGTCTTACGGCAGGAGGGCTGTCAAGGCTCTGAATAGTGTCTTTCTGCTCATCGATGTCATCACAATGAAGGAGAGAACAGGTTTTCGTTTTCGCGAAGAGTGGTCAGTAGGAGCGCAGTGGTTTGGCATAGATGGGCTCCAGAACATGATGGATTAAAACCAAGAAGAGGCTTCCAAGGAAGATGGCGCTAAGAAAAGCCAGCAGGACATAGCGGCCAATGAAAAAGTCATCCACAATCTGGAGAAAGAAAACATCAAAATGAAATTACTACCAGTTAGGCACCCTGGCTGGGTTAATCTGAACTCTGTGATGAGTGGGCCAAGAGTTAGTTCATGAGTGTAACTTCCAGTAACATCCTGCCCTGAGTCTCCTCTGTACGTGGAGAAAAAAGAGTCTTTTCCTCAACTCCCTGAGCAGAAGACACAGGTCAAGAAGGGATCAATGAGGTACAGGGAACAAATGGCTCAATTTAGGAGGTTGGTAGACACTTTGAAGTCCCTGGATGAATTATTTTATATTCTGAAATCCATTATCTGAAAGAGTTAATGAGAAGCTTTTGCTGGGTCCTAGAAAGGCACATTTTTGTTGTTGCTAAAACACATTTTATTACAGAGAATTTTAAACATACATAAAAATGCAATAGTATAATAAACTCCCATGTATCTAAGACCCAACCCCCAAAATCATCAATCCATTGCCATTTCAGGAGGGTTCATTTTCAAAATGAAAGGTGACTTAACTTTAAAGCTGTCAGCGGGAGAGTCCCTTGCCACAGGGCAGGGAAAATGGTAATTTACCTGAG